TTGTTTGTTGTTTCTGTCCATTCTGTTCGAAAGTCATCAGCAAATGATTTGCCACGGCAGGAGCATCATCTAGTGGTGACTATAGGCAACCCCAGGGTATTCCATGGCTCTAGTCCCCTACCAGGGAATCGTTCCAGTGAAGTACAGGGACAGGGATTGTGTTTAGTACCACTTATAATCCTGTTTTAGCCAGAATTAAGAATAAACTTTATTTAAAGCCACTGGTTTTCACCACACTTTTGAGCAAACAAAAGCTGCAAACAAGTGGCAGCAGATGAGATGAGGGTTCCACGGGCTTCTACTTGTCTTCCTCCCTCTTCCCCTATATCTGCCTTTTCTCCATGTCACTTTTCCATTGCAGCTGCGCATTGCAATCACCTGGGGAACTTTAAAAATTACTACTTACCTTTGCTCCTGCAATATTTGGGACATATTTATATTAATGAATTATTCACTGTTTATCTGAAATCCAGATTTAACTAGGCGTCCTGTATTTTTATATGCTAAATCTGGGAACCCTACTAAGGCCACTTTGTAAGCCAGTTAAATCAGAATCTCTTGGGATGGAGCTTGGGCATAAGAAATTGTGTAAATGCTCCCCAGGTGATTTTACTGTTAGCTGTGGCTGAGAACCACTGATAGTCAAGCTTCAATTCTCATTTAGAGTCACTTGTCTCAAACTCACTACATTTTTGCCCTCTCCAACATAAGCCCTGCATTTAGCCTTTCCCATCAGCCCAGCCTCTTTCAAATTGGTATCACATTTTTTAGTTGGTTTCTCCCAAGGGAATGGCTGGGTAAGGTAGCGCAGGTGGTGACGCCTGAGACAGAAACTGCAGAGAACTGGGGATCTTATCCTCATTGTCAGAGTTGGAGATATTTTTAAACTACTCTCTGCTTTAATTACTCCCTTCAAGGAGAAGAGGATAGGATTCTATCTTGATTGAGTTTACCATCCCCTGAGCTAATCTGCCCCTTCTTTCTTCCAGGTGTATCTACTTGTAAAAAGCTGTTGGGAGGAAGATCCAGAAAAGAGACCAGATTTCAAAAAAATTGAGTCTACACTGGCCAAGATATTTGGGTACTGCTGAAATTTTTACTTTTCTTCACTAATGTCATATTTTTCAATGATAGTTGACATTCACTGGCACCTAAGAATAAGAATGTCTGTTCCAATGAAAAAATCCCAGGCTGCAAACCAACACCTGCCTCATACAATTTAAAATGATATGGAGACTAATAGACCATTTTCTCAGGGAAAAGTTAAACGCTCAATGTCAAAACTTTTCTGATTAAAAAATAAATTTGACTAATCCTAAATCTGTTTAAAATATAGCTTCCAGACCCTTCTGTAGGTGATTAGGATTTAGAAATGTAACATGGGTCCTGAGAATCTGCGAAGCCCCTAGATATTAATAATTCTTAAAATCAGCATGTTTCTTAAGATCTTAAAGTCTTAAAATCACCAGCTTTGGCCCTAGATACTTATGTCATGTGTCAGAGTGTGATAATTCAGGGTCTGAAAAAAAAGCACACACTTAGCCTGGAAGGTTGAATTCTAGATGCTTCATGTTTTCAGTGAATACACTTCAGAATGAGAAAAATTACACTTAATTAAGAGTTTGGAGATCCAATTTCTAGACTAGGGTCTGATAATAGCTTGCTATGGGACATCGAGCAAAACACTTACCCTCACTGGGTATCAATTTGCTTGTTAGGAAAATTGGGTTGAATGAGATGATTTCTACGATTCCTTCCAGCTTTAACTTTCTGTAGTTCTCATTAGGTCAAAAGATTCGGATATTTAATGAGGCTAAAAGTCCAGGGCTGGAGATGAGGTAGAGTGAGCTTAATGAAAGTGTGGTCATTGATTGGCAGAACTAAGCTGTAGGAAATAATAAAGGATTTAATTCTAGCTCCTTTCCCAATCCTTCCCAGACCTGTTACTAAGGTCAGATGTGACTGTATGGGTGACAGATGAAATGCAAACTCAGGAAGATACACCGGGCCTCTGATGTTTAGCCTTTAATGTGGTGGTTCTCAAACTTGGCTGTGCAATGAATCAACTGAGGAATTTTCAAAAACACTTATGCCCGGATTCTACCCTAGAAAATCTGACTGGTCTGGGATGCAGGCTGGTATCAGGATTTTTAATAGCTCCCCAGGTGATTAAAATATACAGCACAGGTTGAGAAAAGTTTTAATTGAATCAACGCCTCATGGAGTAAGATAATCCATCTTCATCCCCTACGTCTGCTCTCTCACCCATTCTACTCAACTGGACTCTGTGCTGTAGTTTCCAGCAAGAATCCCCCAGAAAGCTTGTTAAAAATTTTTTGTTTCTTAATCCCAAGCCTAGAAATTTCAGTCACTTAGGTCTGGGGTAGGACTCAGAAATGTACTGGATTTTTAACAAACATCTCTCCCCATCCCAGGGGATTATAATGTAGACCATCTTCTCCAGGGAAGAGAGTGGCAACTTGTTATTGTAATAATGAAATGGCTGTGATTATTTGGCAC